CCTCAGCATTCAGGATTCCTAGTAATTTACTAAATTGCAAGCAATCCAGCAGGAAAAATAGCATCGTCTGCAGCGGGCTTTAGCTAAGAATAAGCGCTTTATGCTGATTGGATAGATCTAGAAGAATAGCTCTATTTCAGCACAGATCTGAAAGTATAATCCAATGAACGCAAAGCGCTTAGCAAGCGCAAACTTCTGCTGGACACAGGCAATCAATACGCTTAAAAGCTTTGTCGTACGACAAATGTAATACCAGCCTAAGAATTGACTAATCGCAGTCGATTATTCTTACGACTACGACCATTGTAGACAGAACCGAGAATCATTGTAGCGGAGGCTTTAAGGCCTATGTCCACGATGCTAGAACTTGATCCAAGTTCTAGTTCCGAGAAACGTGTAGCCAATCAACTCGCAGCTATTCCATAAAAGCTGCAAGTTGATTGGCTATACATTTCTCGGAACTAGAATTTTGATCAAGTTCTAGTCATCGTGGACACAGGCCTTTAAACCCGAGAGCGCTCCCCACCATCGGCCACCATGGAGCCACTTCAACCAACTTGAACCAATCAAAATTCCGGCGTCGCAGATGTTGCGGCTTGCGGCGCTGTCGGGCACCATTTAAATTTTAGCCAGTAAACACCGTGTCGAGTACCGGAGGGTATCGACGGTGGTGAGTTGCATTTGCTCCAATTTCGGAAGACAACTCCGTAATATCGCCCGCTCGTATTTGCTCGTTAATTTATTTTCTAAACAACTGATGCCGCCATGTATTCACCGTTGTCGCCTCAGGCCAGCCTCAGTGCAGAATTAAGACAAATTATCAACGAGAGAAATATGTTGAGCATGCGGAGCCGTATGAAGGGTATAACTCGTGTCCTTTTTACATGTATACGTATATTAACTATTGTTCAAATTGAACGACAAATCGTTACTTAGGACCGAGCGAGACGAAGGTAACCCAATAATTTTACATTTAATGCGTGAATAAATTTATCGGGCTGCCTTCATCTCGCGCGGACCCAAGTAATAATTCGGCGTTCTCCATTTGATTTATACCGCAACAGGTCCCGATTTAGCTTGATTTGTCAACTGTTGTTATTTAAGTCAAATCTCTTTTCAGTTCTTCACGCTTTGAACGAGGACAACGAGAGACGCGCAGAGGAAAAGCAAAGAGCTCTTAGGTCACAAGCTATTCGAGAGATATTGACCACTGAAGTTACTTACTTGCAACAACTGGAAATCCTAACGGAGGTATAAGTTTTAATAAATATCTTTTACCACGACACAGCGCTATCACGCAGTCTGCTCCTTCAGTTTTTTATACAACCTATTCTCGAGAGAAAGCTGTTGGATCACCCGTTACTCGTCACCCTGGCCGAGAACATAAAAACGTTATACAACGTGAGCGGTGAACTGGTGGCAGGATTGAAACGTAATCCCGACAATATAGCCGGGATATTTCACAAACTTGCACCGTTCTTCAAGCTGTATTCCGTTTATGCGTACGATTACACCCAAGTGCTAAATCTACTACAGGTAATTATCACGTAGCAAGATTATTCGTTGGCACTTGCGATCTCTTGACATTCGGCGCGATTTATACTTTACAGATGCATGCATTTTACTTGTAAGTTTATTGCAGTGTAGACGCCCTTCGGCTTGTACACGGCCCTCTTTTCCAAGGAACATACCCAAACCTTATGAAATCACCCTAACTTCCCATCATCTCTCACGAACATAATAAGAAAAACCTAAATGCAATGCAATAGCATACGATATGTCGTCGCAGTCCTTTCCATTTCACTTCGTTTCATGTACTTGTACACACTTGATATTGAACAAGTATTATTAGACGCAAACAGCCGACATTAAAGTTTGTCTATAGGATGATCCTTTCAGGCAAGTCAGGAGAACGATTCTGTCTTCAAAAGATTTATTTGCGATCAAGAAACGAGACCAGAAGTAGGCAGGAAATTGGCTTCGTTATTGATCACCCCGGTGCAAAGAGTACCGAGGTATCAGTTGCTCGTTAAACAAGTGTTACAACATACCCCATACGATCACAGAGAGCACAGGCATTTGCAGGGTAATTGTTATGTCATATTCACCCAATAACTTATTCGAATATGCACGTTGTTGGCACGACTTTAATCCAATTTTATTTGTAGCGTGTTTGGTTGAAATTGAAAAGTCTGCAAAACACATAAACACTTTAATCGCACAGAACGAAGAAACGCAAAAGTTGCTAAACCTTCAAAAGTGCATCGTTACTTCTATTAATCTCGTCAAGCCTGGTAGGATATTAATCAAACAAGGACCACTGATGCGCGTCTCGAGACGAGGCAATTCAGCTTACAGGAGATACTTTGTTCTTTTAAATGACACTTTGCTATACTGTAAAGGCGAGCCGGAAACGTCACTGAACGTATCTTGCGTGTTGCCGTTAAACAAGTGCAGTTTAACTTGCGTTCTGAGCAAGAAACTCTTCCGTATAACGTGCTTGCATGAGACATTTTTATTGTATTCGGAAAAAGATGATAGCAACGAGTGGATACAATCTATACAAAGCGCCATTAGAAAAGTGTGTATTTGTCACATTATTAAAAATGTACATGTCTTGATACCTGGCTTTTCTGTCGAGCACACATACGTGTACTGTCTTGTTTTCAGTATACCGAATGCAGGCAGACCTTGAGAAAGGAAAGTAGCTCGAGAAAACCACTTAGGCATAAGAATATTAATCAATTTTCGTCGGATGATATACCGGCGAAATCTGTTAAAAGAAAAAGATGTGTGAAAGATGAAGAGGTAAAGTATTTCTTGTGCGTATGTTGCTAGCACTACTTTTGAAATATTTATACCAAGTATCGATTTGAATACTGTACGTGTAAGTAAACTGGCGTCGATTTTTCTTCTGCATTACATAGGTATTATTGGACACTTCCAACATAATATATTTCAAAAAGGACGAGATGGATGAGGACGTTCAAAGCAGTAATACTTGCTTGCCCCTTTTTACTAGAGCCAAGAGATTTAAACAGGACGAATATTCCAAGGATGGCTACATTGCCCCTGCGGTAAAGAGTACAAAATTGAAATCGTGTAGAAAGAGAAACGAACGCTATACACCTACGCATAGGTGTTTCAAAAAATCAAGTAACTGCAATTACAACGAGGTGAATATAAATGTTTATCGCAAATCTGAAAATGGCCCCCCCGCGCATTTACGAAACTTAACACTCCGTCTTTTCCCTAGACTCTTTCGACGACGACAGGTACACACGGGACAAGTGTCTGTCCCGTCGCGTCGAACGCCGAAAAGCACACGTCGCCGTTTCAAGGGATGAGCGAATTTTTTACATTCATCGGCACGACGATAAGAGACCTGTTCACGTTCAGATAATTCAGATGTTACGTACAAAAATTAAGGATACAAATCGCTTATGTCATAATTTATACAATTATAATTGATTGCGTGGACGCGCTACATTTATTCTCCATCCACAGTTAGCTGAACTTTCGGAGTGAACGTAGCACTGAATATAGATCCATGCGAAATAACTGCGTTGTTTTAATTTACATTGTTTTTCTAGTCTGACTTTTGATGATGACAGTATGAAAACGCAATTTCTTGAATCTGTGTGTCTGTCTGGAAGTAATTAACGGACGTTTCGACCGCCCTGGCGGAAAATAACAAGCTTTATAAAGCGTCGGTAACCGATGAAGGTTTTTTTTAAGTTCATACGCTTTCAAACTTTATAAAAATGCTTACACAACGCCGTTGCATTTTGAACGCTTATAAAATACTGTATATAACGTTTCATAAAAGTTCTACAACGTGCGATGATAATACAATATTTAAATAAAAATGTTAACGCACGGGTAGAGAAAGTTTTTTTTCTTTTTCTCAATTAGACTTAATTCTCGATTTGCAGCAGAGCGTCGCTCAGATCTCTCTCGCGACAAGAGCTTTTTATCTTGCACGCGCATCCTGCAAGAGGAAATACATCTCCCCAGATGGAGACAAGACGCACGCATGCGCCGTAGCGTCGGGTTCGTCGAGCAGTAAAATTTTTTTACCGACCCTGGGGCAGCGTTACGTTACCCCCCCACGACCGTCGTGGTTTTCGCTCATGGCTGGAATTGCCGTAGCAGAATTCAAGAATTACTGGAGGTTACTGCAAGAACGTGTCCGTTGGCGCGGGTAGACTGAGCCAGGCCGAGGTAGGGCAGCATCGGGCAAGATATCGCCGCGCGAGAGAACGGAGTGGTCGACGTTCGCGAGGCTTTTGCGTACACGGCATCGTATGCCTAACGCCGGAAAGGAGGGCAGGTAGGGAGGCGGAAGGGCGGAGAAGCAACGCTCGTACACGGGAGAAAGTCCGTAACACCGACGAGAGGAGGCATCGGGCGATACGTCGCTAGGTCCGTAACGCTTCTTCTCTACGAGCAAGTACACTCTCACCCTATATCATTAGCTGCGTTCGGCATTGTCTGACGTGCAAGTGTGTACCCTGACTCTCCTCCTCCTCCTCCTCCTCCCCCCCCGCCCTTTCCAGATTGTTCCATATGATTCATATGATTCATAATCGAACGTTTCTTCATCTCCATTCATCTCGCTGCTGTAAAGCGAGACGACTCGGGATGTACGGACGGGCATTAACCGGAGCGCCCGTCTCTGACATTTCCTCTTTCACGCGCATTGTAGCACGGGAAGATATTTCGTGGTACGCGCGACTCGGGCGAGTTAAAGACTCGCGAAAGAATTTTGCGCGATTTCCTTAACCAGCAGTAAGTTTCGATCGTCGACGAACGACAAGTGAAAGATAGGGTTTTGCGATTCCGTATAAGTTTTTTTTTTCTCTTTCACATAATCAGACTCGCTCTGCATTTTATCGTCATTTACTAATTGACGATTTATTATTCTGGCACATTGTATTCCACGCGTGTAGAGGTAACGATATTTTCTAAACATCCTTCGTCATCTGTTTTAGCCCCTTTTGCACAGCTTTTGCGGACGGAATTTATCTGCACGCGCGACTTTTTTTGTTTTGCAAGTTTCGATATTAACTCGAATGTCGAATTTGATGTGCGTTCTATTCTTGAGCGAGAAATTGCCGTATGTGTGCACCTCTGACACAGCTTTTCTTTTTTTGTTTTATAGAAATTCCCTCACGAATGGACATTTGTAATAGATAGCGATGGAAGGCCCATTAGAGATAAAAAGCTCCGGCGCGGGTGTGGAGGAGCCGATAAAATCCGAAGCTCCTGTACAAAATTCCGACAACAGCGAGCGAGGCGAAGGCGCAGCCTCGCCGCCTCCAAATTGCAGCATTTGCCTGGGCAAGCTGGTTAATACGTCCTTCACGGACAGCTGCCTGCATCAGTTCTGCTTCACTTGCCTGCTCCAATGGTCTAAAATTAAGACGGAGTGCCCTTTGTGCAAACAAACCTTCAAATCGATTATACACAATGTGAGATCGGAAGAGGATTACGATCAGTATCATGTACCGCGCGAGTTGGTGTCGCAGATACCTCAGTCGCATTCCTTAACTGCCACCTTGGACGTCAACTTCGATGTCGATTGGAATGTTGGCCCTCGTCGATTCGTTTACAGGTACCAATCGCATGCATACGTACATGTAACCAGGACGTTACTTGCACCGTGATAATTTGTAATCTGAATACACGCTTACACAATTCTATGATGTCTCAGGACAACGATGACTGGCAATCGTCGTCACGGAGTGGTGCTGAACCCAGAGCAAGTTACAAGACGCGAGCAATTGCCCAGCATAGCGCCTCAAGTGCCTGTGGAAGAACGTAGACGTAGACGTGCTAATCCTACAGATTATCGCCGTATTGTTTACAGGCATGGTATATGGGCCACTTCGCTGCCCGACATGTTCGGACGCTTCCGCGAATGTAGCCCTGAATATTACAGGTAAATATCTCCTCACCTAATTTCCAAATCCCAAAGTCTACGTCTGTTATTTAAGCACGGCACTGTAACGTGTGTTACTTGTGATGTAATTAAATATAATGTATACTCGAATTTCCTTGTCAATTGCATTGTAGAAGAGAGCCGCAGGAATTGGAGCGCCTTATACCGTGGCTGAATAGAGAGCTGCAAATTTTACTTAATAACGAACCAACCCATATTGCATATGTGTTGAATGTAATAATGGATGCCTTAATTCAATACGATATTAGAAGTATGGAATTTCGGAATATTGTGCGGCCGTTTTTCGTTATGCATACAAATCATTTCATACACGAATTCTTAAATTTTGCCGAAACCAACTTTGATTTGGTTGGATACGATCAATCTGTTTCCTATCTGCCACGTGGTTCGTATTTGTCATATAATTGTGAATGTTCAAGTACACAATTATGTCATATTCCAATCACATTACAGGTTTGTCAAACGAATATGCGACTAGTATTGAATCGTCTAGTAGCAGTACCAATAGCAGCAGCAGCAGCAGCAGCAGCAGTAGTAGCAGCAGTCTTGTCTCCGATAACTCTGACGTTCGAATACTCTCTGAAGCGATCGATCTGAGAGTAAACGCTGAGATACCGAATACATTATCGCACCCTATTAGCATGCCAGGTGAGAGATGAATGGCAAATTGCATCCTGCGTTACATTTTCTGGCCTGACGTATAAACGTAAATCAAACTTGATATTATTTAGTGTATTGTTGGATCTTTAAGATACCTACTATGATTATTTAGGTCCTAGTGCAGTAGGACAGATGTTTCGCAGAGTAGAAACGGCCAACAATGTACCACATGTACCAGAACTCTTGATCCTTTCATCGAGCTCCTCTGAATCGGATGGCGAGTGTGAAATAATTGGCTATATAAAACCACGCCATGAAAGAACACCGGAAATCATAGAGTTACTTTCCTCTGACCCCGAGCATGTGTCTGTTCCTCTTACATCGAATGGAAATACAAGAATACAGTAAGTTATAAAAAGTTATGTAATTATATCGCGACAATTTTTAATCGTTTAAACAGTGACATCGTGATAGACAGAGACAAAGACTTTTTTTAGAAGTCGCTTCGATATCATTGATACAAGTGTAAATGTGCAGCTTTAAATGTTTGCCATCATATTTGATTACTAGATCCACCGCAAGAAGAATAAATGTGGAAAATGTGTCACTACCAAGTACATCTCATGCCACAAAAGGATCATCTTTGTCGTCTTGTTCGACAAGTAGTGATGCTACTTCTGACAGTGATTACACTCTAAAACCAAGGCGTAGCCGTTTGAAGAAATCGGGGAAAAAGACAGTTATACAAAAACATAAAAGATCGTATGGAACAGGAAGTCGAAAAAAGATATCTAAGAAAAGGAAAATATCCAGTTCTAGTGAATCCTATTCCAGCTCCTCTGAAGGTTCACTAAAGAAATGTAACGAAAAACGACCAAGAAAGACAAGATATAGAGTACAGGCTAAAGGTACAGGACGAATAAAACTTATTAAAAGAGAGGAAAGTTACTCAGCTGAGGCTTCATCTAGTAGTGACAGCAGCAGCACGGAGGAGACCGAGAACAAGACGAAAATCAAGAAGTCTTATAGAGAATATAAATCGAAAAGAAATTCTCCCTCTAGTGCAAACGATCATACAGCAAAAAGTGGAAAGAGAACGAAAAGCAAAGAAAAAACGTTGAATCTGGAAAAGTTCAAGTCTAAGAACAAAGATCTGAAGTGTAGCGAAAATGGACAACCTAGATCTAGAAGTAACAGTGCATCCTCTAATGTTTCTGAACGAGAGAAGAGAACGAGCTGTAGGCACCGGAAATTTCGAAATACGAATGAGTTTGGAAGTCAAGATGACAGTGCCTCAATAAATAAAGATGTGTCACGAAGTGAATATAAATCTAAATCAAAAAGGAAAGTATATTATGCTTCGGATTCGGAGGATGATTGTTTAAGGTCAAGTAGTCAGTGTAGTAATTATTCTAATAAATCCTATTCGCATTGGAGAAAATCAAAACGTAAAGAAAAACATAAAGATAAGGAGCGTCATAGTAGAACTAGTAGCAGAATATTCAATTTATCGCAATCTAATGCAAGTACAATTTTAACCATGTCTATATCGTCAAAAAATGACGTGTATCCAACGAAACATTCCGATCGTAACGGTCCCGATTGTAAAGAAAAGCATAAATCACGCAAAGAATCCAAGTATAGAAAGTCCGAAAATGAAAAGAAGTCAAGACCAAAGAAAAAAAGGCGACGTCTTCAATCTTCTTCCACTTCGGGATAAAATCACGCTGTGCAATTTGTAGTAAATATCATAGAATAAAATTTGTTTTAAATGACATTTCACTTTTTACAAGAGATGCAATGAATTGAATTTAATCAAGTGAATTTCACATTATTGCAAATTGCAACTAACATGTAAATGAACAGGCATATCCTGCGTGTCTGTGTAGATTTATATTTTGTTCGTACACATATCGCTCTTCTTCATATGTTGCTAATGTCACAGTTCATAATTGTCTCGTCAATTAATTAATTAATACATTATTTTAATATAGATGTAATTAAAAGAGATAAGGATAATTATGATTCTTTTTTTCTTATAAAAATCAATTTGTATTTAATAATTTTATTATACCTGCTTTTGACATAAAAATATATCAATAAAAGCAAGCAACATCTTATTCTCCATAATGAAATGTATATATTAAAATAAATTTGTATTTGCGCAATTGCAAATTTCAACATTAAAACATTATCTTGTTACGGCTGCTAAGAGATGCAAAAATTGTTACTATATAAATTGCAGTGCGAAAGACGTATTATCACGCTACCTTTTCACGGGAATATAATATGCACAGCGATGTATACACATATATGTGTATGGGTATGTGTGTATGTGTATATATACGTATGTACTCGTGTGCATGATAGCATTGATGATACTGATATTGAATTATTGAAATATGATCCATATAATGATCCGTACGGAGACCCAAAGATTGTAAATATGTGTATTTCGTAAATTATCAGTTTAATTAAGATTTGCATACGCACACACGCACGAGGGCCACTTGAAAAGTTCTCAAATTGAGGTATAAAAGGTACTTGCACAACAGACACAATATGTTAAATGGAAGGTTTCAACCCTTTCCAAATATTGGGCCAATGTTTGTTCAATGCACTGTGCTACTAGGGTACCATTAAATAATTCATTTTTTTAGATATCTTTGAACGAACATATATGCATGATCTTAAAACAATATACTTTTTGATTGGAACTTTCCGTTTAACTTTTCAAATAGTCCTCGTACATACGTATATCTATACATGCGTATAAGACATAGAGATAATGTTCACATATTAATAAAATTAGAGATATTGTACGTTATATTTTTGCTATATATGATGACTTTTCATACAGTAATTAAATAGAATAACTTTTATTTCTTTTCGTCGAAAATTTTATTAGATTACTTTCCATTTCCAAGAAAATATTTTCTTTTTATCTATATATAAAAAACTGAAGCAAACATGCGAATATCTTGGATAGTTATGCAATAATCATTATATCGTATGATAAAATGTCATTATCGAAATATTACTTTTTTTATGAATAAGCTAATATGTGAGTTTAATTTTTTTTTAAATCTCGTATTTTATAATATTCGATATAACTCTGATATGTGAAAGAATGAAAGATGCGAGACTACAATAAAATAAAAAGATCGATGTACGTAAAGATTATTGCAAATTTGTATTATACGAAAATTACGTATATTAAGATCGTTTATAATATATAAATTATAGATAACAAGTATGTCAACACATGAAAAGATAGATCAGTAAAAGTATTATATTATGCCTGTGAAATCATAAAAAGAATATAAAATTATACCTAAGTAATTTATATATATTTTATCTATCATACACAGGATGATTCTCAATTATATATGTATTAATATTTCATAGCATGAATTGAAAGCGAAAAAAACATGTATGAATATAAGTCCTTCAGATTTAATATTTTTCCAAGTTATAATAAACAAAATGCTCGAAGTATACGTTTGCTAATGTGTACCATGGTTTTAAATGCTGCAGTACGTATTTTGTAGCTGTCGATACTTTTAGCATTTTTTGATGTTATAATTCGGAGAATAAAACCGACATGATCAAGTTTTAGTACAGGCATCAAAGCATGAACATGATTTTTGTTTCATTTTATTCTCTCTATAGTATATAAGAACTGCCTTACATAGCAATGAGAACAATTATAATTTTAAAGTAAATACTTCTTAAAAAATAACCAATTTGTTTATTAACAAAGACATAGTTACTTAGATATTATTTATAAAATCTCAGTTTATATAAATAATATGTCAATGCTGATCCAGAGTAATAAATAGGGGTGTATCTTCGGGAAGGTAGGCACTAAGACGCGCCACTTTTTAATTTTTGGCGAGCAAAATAATGGACTGGAACTAGACCAAGATTCGAACCTGAGACCGTTCCGTTTGCAAATGCTCCAACTGAGCTATAACAGGTCCACACTCGAAGACTTACCCACTTTATTTTACTATGTAAAATGCACACCTTGCGCATTGAATTCATATAAAAGGCTGAAAAAGGTACATTTCACTAGTTTTGATGTTTTAGCAGTTATAAGTGACTATATACATATATAATTGTAAAATATAAATCGTCAGATTTAATAAAATTAATTAAGTTCTGGACGATTGGATCTACTAAAATCGATACACATACACATATATGTATATATATATGTATATATATATATAGACTTTTAAGTTTATACCTGATAAAATCACTTATATCCATAGTCCTAGCTCGTTTATTCTTAGAATCTGCTTTTTCTAGCACATGATTTATCAATTCCTTGATATCAAAATTATCTGGTACAATCTGTAAATGTATGTATGTGCGACAATCACCATAAAGTATAATAACAAATATTCTAATATAAACAAGCATTCGACCTATATTTCCAGACATAATATAATATTTGCATCTGTCTTCTTTGTAATGTGTCAAACTTACCTTGTTGTTCAAACTGCAGTGAACTTTATAATTTTTTTCTAACATAGTGACAACTGTGGTTTGCTTGAAAGCTGCGGATAGCGTTTTATTTTTTCTTATGAAAGCGATACGTGTCAAACTATCCCATTCCTGATAATTGACCGAAGGAGGTGGATTTCTCGGCTCGAGTCTCACTACGTTCGATTCTACCTTAGGTGGAGGTCTAAAGTTATTCTTTCCAACCTTCATCAACATGTCTACCCGTGCCAACAACTGTGTGTTAATGCTTAAGCGACAATACAATTTGTCACCAGGTTTAGCCACTAAACGTTCTGCAAATTCTCTTTGGAACATGAGGACAGCGCATCTGTGAAAAAAATAACGTGTGTATTGACTCCATTTTCTTTCAATGTCGACATATCAAAAATTTGCCAAGTCTACCTACGTATACATATATGTATATAGTTTATAAAATTGGAATCTATTACTCTTAGAATATTAGTCTCGAGTATCTATCTCGGATGTAGAAACTAAAATATATCTTTATGCTAGAAAAATATGGGCGCCCGCTTTGGAAATCCACTTTTCATTTGCATCCACAAAGCTCTAAAAGATCACTAAAGTATATTCGCAAAAGTGTAATTACCTGAAAATTGGTCTGTGCGAAAGTAACTTAAATACTAATGGTGACGATATCTGATACGGGATGTTAGCGACGCACAAATCAAAAAAGGGTAGCTCCGATTTTAGCACGTCTCCAAGCACTATTTGTAATTTTGATTGATGCGCGGTCCCTTGAACACGCTTTTGTAATTCTGCTACCATTCTTGGATCGATTTCGCATGCTATTACTTTCTTTGCCTTCTCAAGCATTTTCACAGTCATGTTACCCGTACCAGGACCGATCTCCAATACGACATCAGTTGGCCTGAGCGCAGCTTTTTCAACCATACTTTGAATAATTAAAGGATTTTTCAGTATATGCTGACCCTTATCCTTATTAAATAAAATCCCTGCAAAAAGAATGAAATACACATACCTGTTGCAACAATTTGCCACACGATACAAAATGTTTGCTGGGCTTTGTATTAATTTATATTTATTAATATAGAGAACATATTAACACGCAAACACATATGTACCTTGTCTCGCTACTTCCGTGTGGACACGAGAAGAAACTTGCGTGCGAACTTTCGGCATTATGCTTGATTAGAAATTATATCGAGTATTTTAGAAATATATGTAAATAACCCTCAGTAACCACATGGTCTACTAAATGCATGAGTAGAGAGAAGCCTGAGAGGTTACCACGGCCCGGTTTTACGTGATCCTCGAACGCGATACGCCCTCTATGGCCATTGGAAACGTGGACGTGAACCACGTAGCCAATGTCCACTTTAGGACTCAGCGGATAACGCAAATGTACACGTTTGGGTTGTGTTCCGTGCTATGTGCATCAAGTATCGATAAAAAGAGAATTACTGATTTTTCGTTATGTGAGCGAACAGACCGAACAGACCCAACTTGTAGAGGCCCTCCACCACCCCCACCGAATTTATCTCGGCGGTCCTCTTTTCTCTGAAATAATTGTGTTTTTACATTCTTATAATTTGTTTATTTTTATGTGACATGCATACAATATAATACATAACTCTTACGTTGTAAAACATTAGTAGAAAATGTTACACAATGCTACACACGAAGCTGTGACTATTCTGTAACATTTTTTATTAATGTACAAATGAAAAATCAAATTTGAGCTTTTATTATACTTAAATATTAAATAGAATTGGTCGAGCTGGTAAGACGCCCGTCACGGATTGAGGGAGGTCCCAGGTTCGAATCCTGGTTGGGGTAATATTTTTCGCAATAAGAATTTTAATTGCCAGATACGGTCAATAAAAATCATTGATGTTGTTAATTACTGCTGGCGACTTTTAAGAGTATTCTTAATAGTTAAATAGAATTGTTATACATATATTATAAATATACCTTTCTTTAGATTTGCATGTATCATCAACTGTTTTTCATAAAAGAAAACATACACATAACATATTATAACTATATACATATTTACTTTCATTAACTTATAATGTTAAATATAAGATAAATTTATAATAGAGAACTCTACATGCATACATGTATGTACGTACAACTACACATGAAGAAAAGATAAATGCACTTTATAAATATTATATCATTTAAATTCTAAACTACATACTTTTATTAGAGTTTTACTTATTCTTGTATACATATGTATAGAGATCTTGTTCTAGTTTTAATTTCATAAAGAAAAAGTTCAAGGATAATACCTAAAGACGTAATAAAAAAACATATTAAAGTCAAACATTAATATTGAATTAATTGATTATTTATGTGAAATGTTAATTAGAATCGCGTCTACGTGTGACATCTTCCGTACTTCTATTAACTCCGCCGTACGTTTGCATTCTCACTTGCAGCGGGCTTGATTCATCCTGTAATTAATAGAAATATTCGGTCAGATCAACAGTGATAAAAAAATATTTTCTTCTGGTATGAAATACACGTAAGAAAATAAAATTTAAAAAATTAGATAGCATTATCATGAAATGTATAAAAAATGTAAATGTATGTATGTATAGGTCGTATATCCTACATATTACTAATAAATTATTCATATTAACAAAAGAATTGCATTTTCATAAGAGTAATTATACAGTTTACATATAAAAAGCATACATGTAATATATTCTACATGTATATATGTAATTAAATTGAAGTGAAATTGGTAATTTGAAATTAATAATTAAATTAGTAAAATAAGATACATTATATCTCTTTTACGCGAGAAAATAAATATATTGTGTAAATAAAAGCATATCACAGCATATCAAGCAATAAAATTATTACCTGCAACAGCTCGATAAAATAATAATGCTGTAGACTAATCACTAAAGAAACAAAAGTATCTAATTTATGTAAGCGATTTGCGTTAGCGGAATTTAAAATGCGTTTTACATGAACAACATTTATAGTACAATGCATACGTATATTGCAAAATACTACTGGCATTATCTATTACTGCCATTCGTATACTTACAACTGCTCCGTTGTTGGTTAAAATTAAAGCAGCTTCAATTTATTTCACATAAAAGCCTCTGTCTCTCTCACTCACTTTACCTACCTAAATTCTCAATATTTTTTTAAATATACATACAAAAATTAAAGAGTTACGAACAAAATTAAATTGTTAAATGTTAAATTTCGATGCCTCTATCAATCACAGAAAATTTTATAAATGTGCTTAAGCTTTATATTTCCAAGAGATATACATTCCATGCGTTGTAGATTATAGCAGGCATAACACGTTGACACTTTTATGTACATATATATACGAGCATTTGATGATCCGTATTGATTTGATGCAACGCACATTCCTCTTTTTCTCAAATTTTCAAAGCAGATTTTTTTTTAATTTTATGTATTTTACTTATCATACTTAACTATTTAATGTTCAGCATTAAATATTGTTGTTACAATTGTACCAAATTTCTGTCGAAAGCTGAAATAAAATTAACGAAACAAAATACTTAATTTTCTTTTATAAATTTTATCACCGAAATTACCATAAATGTTATTCCTCTTTTATACATATCTAACCTATTAAAATCTTTTAATTTATAACATTCAACATTTTTATATGCAACAATTTTAAAGATAACCACTGCTTTTTGTTCCACTTTAAAAAGTGATTTATCGTCAGAACAGCGCAATTGAAAGGCTGGTCAATAGGTCTTGGACACTTTGTATAGCCGTTCTGAAACTCACGTGTACAGAAACTCACTACAGCGAACAGCTGTACAGATTAAATCGACTAAATGTGCCGCTTAAACATTAATCACGAGTAGCCGGCCGTGAAAGGTGCTCTCGCTTTCTGAGTTGAGGGATGATACGCAGCTTATCCCACGACGATCGCAGTCTGTGGGAACGTCTTTTTCGATGGTGTGAACGTAAATCAAGGACACAACACGATGCGTGATTCATAACTCAATAATTTATTCCTTCTATACAGCATTTATCAGCGAAGCTGCCAATGTTCGTCGTGCTTCGCGTATGATTCTCAATCTAAAACTGAACGTAACACAAAACGACAATAATGGCGAGCTTTGTATAATGAACATTCTCACAGAAATCGTAATACAATTTCAACGTACTTTTGTACATACAAGTGTAGATCGCTGAGAGTTGGATCGCAGAGTAATTGTTCAAAATTTTTGGTCTTGTAATAGTGTATGATCCCGTTCCAGTTTTTCAGTTTTATTTCTACTACGAGTATTTCTTAACGCGTTCAAACATATAATCTAACATGTGCATATCATCATTTAGGTAAAGAGAAAATAATCGATTAATCAAATCTATACAAATCGTAATAATAGACGTCGATAGCACGATTTGTGTTAAATTTAATATAAAGTAGAATATATATCTGAGAAATCTTCAATTTGCTCAATTCTTTGTTGAATCTCGAATCTTAACGCGTTCTTGGAGAAATACACATTTTCACGCATTTTTTATGTATAATAACTTTTTTACTATTTAATTTTAAACATCGTAATAATTAAAATTTGGAAACAAAAACGTTGAATAACTCACGAATTATATTAATAATTTAGCTTTTAATTCGCGATTCTTGATTAAAGAATTGATAAAAATTAAAAAATTAAAATTAAGAATTCTGAAATATCGTGTGTATTATAAACGAGTATCATTATTTAAACGCATTATATTATTCGAAATATTAAAAAGATATCTCACATGTAATACAAATTGTAAAAGCAATATAGTTACAACAATCTTCGATTCAAATGAATAATTAAAGTTTTGCTATCGAGATTTTCAAAGTTTTGGCCAAACCGAGATAACGACAATTCAAGTATCGATGCAATATGTGTGTATGTGTACGCACAGTGAAAACTTCTTTATATACATAACGTGATGTGTGCACATGCAATTTTTCATAAAATAAATAAAATTTTATATATGCGGCTAGTGTTATCGTATGATTTTCTATACCATTATTATTAAATACTTTCAATTAAACTATGATAGATTGCCATCGTACACTCAATTAGGACTTTAAAGCACCATATACCATGTATTCGTATGACTACTTTAATTAAATACACTTCAGGATTAAGATTACGTCTCCAAGATATTCGCGCACCGATTGACGCTGTAAAAAGTCGTATAGAAAGTCGACCTATGGCAACAATTTTCAAGTAGAGGAACCTACCTTCTATTAATCAATGTGCTTATATTTTAAAAACGGTCTAGCAATAAATTGACCGAAATTGGAAGTAAATGAGTCTTCCTCGCAAAAGTTAGACTGATTAAAAAGATTGGTACAAATTTGTTTCGTAGGTTGCGACAAGATTAGATTCCTAATGATCAGAATCAGCAAATGGCTTTAATGTTGAACCTCTTCCTATTTCCATTTATCCATTTTATAATCGTCGCAAGAAACTATTACCTTTTAGAATTGAGAAAATAACTCCCTTACTTTTCCATTAAAAAAGTAACATTATAACGTATAATAATAATATGAATAATATTTTTATTTAATACAATTCATTATATGTGTGTGTATAATATATTGTTATACAAAACAATAAATATTTTATTTAGTATTAAAAATTAAATTTTATGTTAACGTTCTACAGTAAAAATGCTTTAAGTATATTCAAATGAAATAAAAAGAATCAATTTGAAAGATTTATAAGAAAAATTAATACTCCTGATGCTTGACAAAAGTATTGAATTATTTATTGTCACATATAAATAAAACTGATTTCAATAGTAAAATAAAGTCATGAGCAACGACTGTGATACTTTAACACTAAACCATGATTGATATTGATAATTCGTGTTATTTATCATAGATTAACCTACGTGAAATCGTAAAACACTTATAGGGTGAGATCGAGAGCGATTAAAGTCTTAAACGTTATCGACATCTCTTTCCAAGTCTCTTTTACAATTTGAATCCTAACGGTGATTCTACTACAATCTATTTGCTCTGTAAAATAGGCCGATATAAAACAGAACGAAGAGATTTTAGTTGTAGAAAAACGGTTGTCCCTAGTGTCTCGACGTACATTCGAAACTTTCTTGAATTATATCAAACATATTTTAATTATCGCACAAAATAGGCGAGCTATATATATAAAGTAATAAAGCGAATAATAATATAAGCTATAAGAAATATATATATTAATATAATACAAAATTATACTTTCGATCATCAAATTTCCAGTACTTGTAATCGAATGTAACAATGATCGCTCTATATACGCTAACAAGCGTAAAAAGACCAAAAGCACCAATCTATCGATTAAAAATAAATATGTTACAATAAAAAAAATACATCTTTATCATTATTATCTAAAACTCTGTTAATATCAACTATAAAAATAAGATATTCCACTTCATTTCTATTAAGTAGAAACTGATTCTTCGCGATATATTCCGAGTTTTCGCTAACTGGGGAAAAACGTTATACGAATACGGGCTTCTAGAAACATACATCTATTTTTCGGGCGCTACTAAAAGCTAGGAGATAAAAGCATAATAAAGTAAAGGAAAAATTATCGCTCCTCGCTGCGAGGAAAGTATACCGCGCTCGACATCAGACACGTTGGCATAATGGATCAAAGCTCACCACAAGCTTACATAAAGCTCAACGTAAAACAAAACGTACTTAGCAAGTCGTAGCTACATTGCACTCTGTTTCTTCTTTCTTCTCTTTTTCACGATCCGTACAGTGTCGACGAGGACTCAAATAACTTATACAACAATCAGAAGGAAAACGTCGAGAACTATGTAGTCGAGGAACCATTCCGAGATTCCAAGATAAGGTGATTTACTGTCTTGGAATTAGAAAAGTATTTCTTGATAGTAATTAAATAGGTCTAAAATTCGTCGATAGCTAAAAACGTTTGAAGAAGAAACGCTGGAGAAGGCTACGCCGATATACATGTCTATCTGATTGTGAGATCTACTCTCATCTAATGTTTCATGAGAAATCCAAGGATCGTTTAGCTTCTCGAGGACAACTAGAAGACAGTTACGGCCTTGTTGCGGTCAGCAAGCGAAGAGCGAGCTCGTTAGGTCAACAGTTGCGATTACCAGTACCATTATTCACCTGTGTGTTGGTGACGCCCGTCTCCGCTTCGTAATCGGCAGTTCGGTGCTTTTCTATGGAACTGTGTTTCTCTCTCTCCTCTTTGAAGAGATCTGCCACGCAGTGTGTCTAAGGAAACATTGATACATATTTCGATCGTTTTGCATCGTCTCGTCAAAGAAGTTTATCTGATAAAATCGCTAATCTGATAAAATCACGATTAACTGTATCAGAATGTGAATATATCAGAGTAGTTGGATATTAAAGCGTACGACACTTCATCGGAGTCTGACAGAAAAAATTATTTTAGTTTCCATCCAAAGAAATTATTAATGAAACTTTTCTTTCGTTAAACATCTCAATTAAAAATGTATACCGTACGACTATCATTACATTATTTCCGAACTGAAGTAATAATTATTCGTATACATTCACAGGCATCTTTCACAGTTCAACTGCGTAAAATATTGAGAGACTGATTTAAGGAAATTAATTTTTATAAAAGTAATATAAAATCATACATTTCGGAATTATTTCATGCAATTAATACATCTATGGGGTTTTCGAAAAATTAATGATATCGACTTACCATCACTAAAGCGCTGACTATTCCGATGGTAGCTCCAGCGAGCACGTCACTCCAATGATGTTTATAATTGGAAATTCGTGTCATCGCGGTAAACCAAGCCATGAGCAAGCACAGGAATTGAAGGAAGTGTCTAAGCAGTTTACTGCCCTTCCATTTCATTCTCAACTGTAGGTACATCTGAATAACCCCAAGTATTATAATTATGCCAAATATTATCTACTCCTTTTCCTAATGCTCGTGTTGATGTAAAACAATAAAAACAACGTGCAGACGAAACGCAAATAGAAAATTTTAGAGTGAGAAAGAATAGCTCGAAGAACTTAGTGAAATTTTATAATTTAATTAGATGACCAATGTAGAAAAATTGTTAAACGACGCTAACTGGCAAATTCCAATTAAAGAAATTTATTGCGAAAAATATTACCTCAGCCAGGGTTTGAACCTGGACCTTCCCTACACTCTAGGCGGGCGTCTCACCAATTCGACCACTGAGGCATTTTTCGCGATAAATTTCTTTAATTAGAATTTGCCAGTTAGCGTCGTTTAACAATTTTTCTACATTGGTTAATCATGTACTGGCGTCAAATAATTCTTTACGTTAATTAGACAAGTTGTATTTCTACATTGTTTATTAGAATTATTTTCGTTCATTGTATGTTGACACAAGATGAAAGGATTCAAATTGAAAATTTATAACGTTCGGGATATAATTACTTTTATATCATCACCAATACAATTATCGTAATACACACTTGACTTACAATTCGTGGCGAATGTGGATCAGACTGTAATCGAATTCAAAGCAGTCGATGCTTCACGTATTAAATTATTTAAATTGATCTCTGCGGATTCCAAAGACCGTCCGCAGACTGACACGCACGTATTAGATCTGTTGAATGATTACGAGCCGGCTCGCACGAATTGTAAGTCAATGCAACGCTTGCGTAACGTAAGGACTACTTACCGCAAGATAGATCATGGTGTAGGCCGAGAAGGACGAGTGACCGGAGGGAAACGATAATCTGAAACGATCGATCGTGCCGCGTCAAACAAATTTCATTTATCGAAGTACGCGGGGAAGAGTGGAAAGGAATTTCTTCCTCTCCTTCGCTCTTTTCTCACGATCGTCGCGTACGCATCCTCCTCCGCTATTAATTTTATCGCGATTAATTCCGGGGCGTATAGCGCATAGCGTATAGCGTGCCGATTACGATCGACGGGACGGCGAAGAGCCGGCGTACAGCCGCGAGCGACGTGGCTGAAAATACGAAGAAGAGGAGGCCGAACCCACGAGCAAAAAACGCAGAAAGGGCGCAAAGGAGACTCGACATTTCCATCTTCCTCCCGCCCTTCACCTTTTCTCTGTTCTTCTCGAGAGACTTGCTCGTAAAAGAAATTCCGATTTGCTGCAAATTACAGGCGACCGTTGACACATTCATACATACATCCATTATAATGACCCACTAAAGTTGCGCTAACTCGTAACTTCTTGTTACTATGTTGAAACTAATTAGGTTTAGACTATAATTAGGTTTAATGACGTCAATTTCATGTCATATTGACCAAAATATGATATAAATTTGGTCAATATGGCATGGAATTGACATCATCTTGACTCTTCATTTTCCTTGGGAATGTGTTGCCGAAGAAGGTCTCTTTCGCGGACCGAAACGTACAATCTGATCGCAATGTTATGTAATTTCTAATATAATAACTTTTTACACCAATATTATTTTTCACCACTTTCAATCGGCTCGCATTGCCCATATACGTTTTCTCGTTTAACATCTCAACGACCAACGTTGTTTTCCGTAATTTAAGTTGTTCATAAAAAAAAAATTTCCAACACTGCATTACGTTAATTCGGACCTTCGCTATTCGGCAACGGCCGTACAGGTTTCAAACTAAAAATTACGACAGCTGTGTCGATCCTCGGGTGAATAAGTGTGCGAAAAGGAGCTTTCCAGACTCGACAAATGTCCACACGTTTTTTCTTCCAATAACCGCAAAATCAAACTTTCTTCTTCCTCTAGATGATTTTTAGGAAAACTTCAAGGGCGCCATCTCTCGACAGAGTCTAATTTTGAATTACGAAAATCATTTTCCTACCACTGTTTGCGAAATCCGGGAAAGACGTTTAAAGATCAGCCGAGGTTTAACTAGATTGTAATTGATCTGTCAGGAAATTGGTCGTCAAAATTGAGCTCTCAGAATTGTGCCCTGTACATCTCTCAACGCACTATCGTAACAGGCTGCATTACGATCATTCTAAGAGTGGAAAAATGTTTTCAAAGCGTATACCTGCGTACTTGTGTAAACCTCAAGGAGCTAAACGACATTGCTTAAACGACGGATCAATGAAAGATGCTGCTCGTCCTTTTCTCTTCTCTCTTTCTCTCATTCTTTCACTTGGTCCCTTCTGCTACCGTGCGGAGAAAGATTGGACCGGACCAGACTCAAGGGCGGGGGGGACTCAAACGCACGAAGGGACCGTGAATGAATTCTCTGTGTGGCGTCGCGTCTTTATCGTCAAGATTCCTCAAATCTCTCTCTACACATAAAACTGTCCCTGTCGCGGTACGGCGGCCACGCGAACCAAGAGCGGATGAGTTGTGATGGCTGCGATGGCTGCGACACGAGTGCGCGTGTACGCGGCGCCGAATGAGTACCGGCTTATAACGTTATAACGAACCGTCCCTTCCTTTTTGTTCGCTCACACGATAACGCCCGCTTCATCTTCCCGCCTTTCTCGAGGGCGAGGAAGAAAGAAAGGAGGAAAACGACGAAAAAGGAGAAAGGCGAACGCGCATGACGTAAGCTCGCGGCGCACAAGCGCTACGGCGCGGGTCTGATCGCGACGTTTCGTGGACTCTGGAACCTTATAGCTGGAGACCACCGAATGCGGAGAGAGAATGGAGATCGATCCCCTCGCTGGGGCTTCCTCTCGCACACTCGATCTCGCGATCCGGGTTAGATCCGGTCCTACTTTCGCGTACGAACCCGACGTCGTCGTTCAATACGCGCATTCAATTCGCGCGTAGATTGAAAGAACGTTAGGTACTCGATCTACTTGCTTCGGGGAAATTACTTTCAGAAAAGAAATTTATTAAGAAACTTGGCGCAGCAGCATTTTCAACTATTTTTAAAAACGAAAAGGACCCGCACGCAGAATAGAATGTCTAATAAATATCCAATGGATATCTACGTATCCATACGATGTCCATAGCTACTATGGATGTCTAATAGATAGAGGTGTGACATTTTCATGTTATTTTTTGGCATCTTTTGCCTTTTGTTTTCCCGGATTTTGCATTAATGTTTTCGATAATGTCGTGGTCAGAGGTGGGCAGGGACTTCAATAAGACGACTTAGGCCCGGTTTCACCAACGTCGCTTAACTTTAAACTTAGTTCAATTCGTTCTTTGTCTCTTTCCAACTGTTACTTTAGAAAGAGGCAAAGAACGAACTAAGCTAACAATAAGTTTAAAGTTAAGCGACGTTGGTTTAGGATACAACATTGACGTTGGAAATGTTTACTAAGGAAAATTGCGATTTTTGACGTATATTGTATATTACACAAATGTTTCCACGAAACAGACAGTTTTAAGTGCAAAAGGTGCAAAAGTGCAGAATCACTCCAGCATCCCCTCAACATCTGTCGCGGATATCCATTAGATATCTAACAGATATTTATGTTCCGTGTGGGTAATAGAGAGTACAGTTTGCCAATTAAATAATTGAAACGGAACAACGGCTGAAGCTAACAATAAATGTCGGCGGTCTTTCGCGGGAAAGTCGGTTTTAGAGGAACGCAGGAACCGTCTCTGTTCAGCATCCAGCAGCGTCCGTCAGCGTCCGTCGCGTTAAATCAATTTCGCGAGTCGCGGATGTTTATTTCTAACGCGTTTCCTTAACTTGTAAAAGATAACGACGTATGCGTTAGGACGTGTCGGCGGGCTCGGGGGTTATTTCTAGTATATAGGCAGTAATAAGCCGTATGTAATCCTTCGCACGTCTCCTCGAATTCACGCGTGCCTGAACGTTTTAAGCCCTATAGGCGGCTCTCTCGCCGGACCCCTTACTTTTAGCTCTTCATCTTTCGAACTATTCCTCTCTTTCCGCGTTCACTGGCACGTAAATCGAAGACGGGAATTGCGAGTGTACAAAAGGAAGAATGATTGAGACGCTTTTCGGAAACTCGTAGTCTTCTTACTGCCAACCGCGCGCATTGCGATCTTGTAAAATGCTCCACTCGTTGTACTGAATTTCTCAAAATTGTAAAAATATGAATCTAAATGGAAGAGTGCCAGATTTTTAACATTAATGATTATCTTCTCCGTGCATCATCGATATTCATTTACGCACTGCCAGTTTTCGAATTGTCGGTCGTTACTGTAGCCGGCGGCAACAAAGGGCGACAAGGGGAATGCACACACGGATAATTCGAACGTGTAATAGCGTTTCCGTTAACCGAGGGAAGGAGGGAAAAGAAAAGAAAGAATCGCACGATCTAGCATCGAATCTCGCTCGTGCGAATCGTGTCGGCCAAAGCCCGCAGGCGGAGCGCTGCTCATTGTCATTCGCTACCGTGGCTCTTTTTGTGCGCGCGCGCGCGCCCGTGTCCGTTAAAACCGGCCTTCGGGCTACGTATGTATGTACGTCCGCAAAAGGAATGCGCAAAAAGGTTTCCCTACCCCGGCACCCCAACAACAAAGCTCGCATACGCGAAATAATCAATCCAGGAAACGTCGTGAGACCGTGAATTTTGCCCAAACTTTAAATAATGCGTTAATGTTAGCGGTGTTAGCAGAGAATTCTTCAGACATAATTTTGCAAGAAAGTAAATTGCAGTCTCTAGACAATTTAAGTTTACTTCGATTTTTCGTAATTTGACGAAGTCCCACTTTTCCCATTTCTTTTAAAAATATTTGAATTTTAAATCTTTGCCTCGTAGAAGCTAATTATTATTTTTCATAATAATTAGTTTTACGAGACAAAATTTTTGAATTTAATTTATCTTAACTTAACTTTATTTAATCAATTTCCAAGATTTATACTTCTTATTCTTCTTTCTAAAAAAATCAAACGATATTTCATCTCATTTCAGAATTGCCGCTTATAGAAAGAAATGCACAAACGAGTACCGCTACAATTAAAAGGAACGTGTATAAATAACTCGATAAGACATATGTGAGATAAACGAGCAAATGGCTGATAATTCAATGAGCATTTAATGGAAATCAAGCGTCGGCGTATCGATTCAAACGACAATCGCGACCGTCTCTCTTTTATCCATTCTCTTCCTCTCCTCCCCCAAGGGAGGTTTACTCCCTTAGATTATCGCAAATTATCGTTTCGCCTCGCGTTCATAAACTTGTCTCGCACAAGCGCAAAGTCCGTAGACCATTAATAAAGTAAAAATAATGAAACACGACGACCCCTTCTCGCTTCTTCGTTCAATCGCACGCCTCGCCTGTAATTGTTCGAGCAATTGTTACCGTCACGCGATCTAAGCAGCGCGTCTCTGTGTTGTCCAACAGCATCATTTCAGGGTATTGCCCTGAAGAACCGTCGATGCCGGCTGGCTGTTGCCGATCGCGTCGAGACCGAAAATGAAGGATCCGCGATACGCATATATATACCCGAAACTACATATATATATGTATAACCACGCTGGCCGTATCGTCTAACTCTGCGCAATTAAGCTTTATCGATTTGCCACGAGCAAACTCACGTCAGCATTCATTAAATTTCTCCCCGATACACACATTTGGAACTTTAAAGTTTTTTCGTATTTGTTTATTTATAAAACTTTTGCAATAAATATTAAAGACTACTCAACTTCATTTTATGTTCTTTTATCGCTAAGATGCCCAAAAAATGCAAAAAACCCGACCTAATTCCGTTAGCTAGACATTAAATGGCCAAAGAGTAAAGAATTTGAGGTGATAACGTGGGTTACCATCATGCTTCAAAGGGTTAAAATGTTATACTATTAAACTAGAGAAAAACTATAGTTGCATATAGTAAAATTACTAACTGTTATTAAAATTTTGTCACTAGTATATACAGTATTTGCATTTTACGTAGAAAATATAAGTGAGACATTTGCAATTTCTTAACTTTACAATTATATTAATATAATTAGACATAAGGAAAATGTATACAATTATGTCAAAAGATTGTACGGCGGATAGACACATTTCTACGGCGAGACAAGTAGGATTACGATTGAGAGGCCAGATAACACTCGTGTTGCGGCAGATTAAGATACTTTATCTCCCTTTAAGCTGATGAGAAATTCAGGAATATCTCCCAAGATCTCTTACCTGACTTCCTTTAGCAGCTTGTCCGAGACTCCCGTTGCGGTACAGTGGAAATCCTCGATATATTTGTGCTGATACTGGGTCAGGTTGCAGTCAACACTGGGTACGCAGAGCTTCATGAAATGGGGCCGTAGCCGACCTATGGTGTACTTGGCGATGTCCGTGGTTAAAACGGTGCAGGCTGCACCGAAACCGAATACACCGACCTGCGAATCATGTCAGGTTCCATAGTTAATTTACATTACTTTTGGAGAGAGAGAGATACGAATTAACTTTTGATATCATTTTTAAATTAAAGTATTTTGGAGATCAAATGACAAGTTAAAAAAGGAATCTGGATAAGAATTTACGTTAGCTTTGTACGATTCTTTCAAATTAATAAAATGAACCTTGCGATAAGCGTTCCACAGCCATGGAGGTATGGTGTATCCAAAAAGCACGTTCGCCGTATGTCCGGAGAAATGCCTCCAGTGCAGGTACTCCCCTACGATCATCTGAGATCAAAGAAAAGAACGCCATTTATATAGCCCTTGATTTATTAACACGTTTACGACGTCGGAAAACTTCTCGTTGCAACATTTCCCTAACATTCTTCATATACGTATTTGCGAATATTACAACTTGTGGTACAAAGAATCCACGTTTGACTACTGTCATAAATAATTCAAGAAAAGATTGACTTTAGCTTCTCTCTCTCTCTCTCTCTCTCTCTCTCTCTCTCTCTCTCTCTCTCTCTCTCTCTCTCTCTCTCTCTCTCTCTCTCTCGTAAAAGAATCGCCACTCGGACATCCAATATGTCGACAACTTGTACGAAATATTGTAATCTTTTTCAACGTTCTATAAAAAATTGAAAGTATTGTGTAAAACTTCTCAGGTCGCAAGGAAATCTCAAAGCCTGATCGAAAAAATGCTAGTTCTTGAAAGAAAGAGAGAGAGAGAGAGAGAACAGAAACTAAACTCTTCTTTCTCCTCCTTAAATTCTACCGAGATCTGTCGTACTCCTGACCAAGGCGAGTTAACTAGGCCAGATCCCGGATAAAGGTCCGCAGGGTGATACAGCGTAGCTAAAGTTCACGAGGCATGCGTGAATGAAATACGACGGTGAGTGCGCGGCTGCCCTTCTTCCTACCTGTTTCTACCTGAACCCCTCCTCGATCCCGAGGGAACGTATCGCGTGGAGCGCGAGCAATCTGTTTTCCTTGCGAGTGTGAGTAGGGAGAGATAGATAATAAAGGTAGCCGGCTCCGCGAGAGTCTTGCGAGATTTCGAGGGCCTCGAGAAAGACGAGGAAGGGGGTGAACCCTTCTCGGATTGCTGCGCCGTCCAGGTACAGGAATGCGTATACCTATAAAACGTATAAAACCGCACCAAGGAACGTCAAAGTGGAAGGTGCGAGGGAGATAAGAGAGCGGCTGAATAGAGACGGCCCCCAATGTCAGGAGAGAAAAATTGACGGTACACGTGAACCGTCGAAAAAAATTATTTGTTACGTGGCCGTAACGTCAGAAGCGTCAGAAAGTAATAAATCTAGCTTTAAATTTGTTTACAATGGTTCGAGTAGATTCACATATCAGACTTAGGACATATGACTTTAAATGCACACTATTTTGATGGGATTCTCAAATAGCGATTAATTTCATTCCTTTCGAAAAATTTCTAAGTCCCGAAGGAGGAAAATTTTTTAACAGTTCCAGCAGTTCTGTTGAGAGTTCTGGGGGTTCTGGGTAGCCCCTCAAGAGTTCTATCGAAAACTATCAAGGCTCGAAGCGCTACGACCGACGAATAAAAAGTTCTCGCGATTTTTCGTCCTTCGGTTCGAAAAATTTCCAAGTCCCGAAGGAGGAAAATTTTTTAACAGTTCCAGCAGTTCTGTTGAGAGTTCTGGGTAGCTCAAGAGTTCTAAAGGAAATCCTAATGGCAAAATTTAATATTTCCAATGCTTTTAGTGTTATCGCTGATTTCGAGATTTCATTTTGTGAAGTTAGCATCCCCAAGTTTCAAATTTAACTTTTTTAGGTTAATTCGCCAGAACTATTTTTAAAATTGATAAGGAACTCTAGAACTCTTCGGGGTGCATTCAGAACTAAAAAAAATGATTTTTTGAGACATGAGGTGCCAACTTCACAGAGGTAAGGTCTCGTGCATCGCGCAGGATCTCGCGCACGGGTAGACGGTTGGACTTTTCCACAAAGGAGTTGTCCATTCCACGAACCCTTATGAAATCACGATACGGACCTCGCAACGTGTGTAATCTCACGTGCGTGAAGTAAGGGAGTCGAGATTTATTTCGACTTTGATCACGACAATTTCTCACGCACGCGAGCGTGCGATTTATCGCGTTAAATTAACAGCGCGACGTATTCTCTCGCGCGATATAATCACTTCGCATTTTCTCCCAGTATAAAATACGCGCGCTTAACGAAGTAAAGACGATTGTGGAATCGGAGAAGGATTCTCTTTCATCTTCATGCTACGTAAATAAGCGTGACTATATCTCGCGAGAGAAAGAGAGAATCAGAGGCGACATAACGTGGCGAAGCTATTACTCGAATAGACGCTGTTTATCGTTCATTTTAGCAATTATATCCAGATTTATAACGCCACGCGAGAAAACGCTTACGGGGGACGCGAGCGGAAGTTAGCGCGGCTAGTCCGAGACCGATTGGATAGTCTGTGTCGAATTGCGAAAACTAAACGACTGCCTCAAAAGCGTCCAAATTCCAGATTATATTTATCTGTTAAGAATAGCAAAGATGGAAGATAACGAGATCAACAAGGTTTAATTTGTTCTTTAACCTCATATACCTATTAATTTCGTTATAGTCCCAAGTGTATCGTTGTTAACTTGATAACTATCATTCTTTTATTTAGAAAAATTATTTGAGCGTAAAACATAATAGAATTCACTGTCTTTCATTCTTCCTTTAATACTTTTTCTTCACGTACACATGTATGCACGCAATTTCACGTGCCTTGAATTATGCACGACGCTCGAAATTATTTGCCCCGCGGTGACAGCGTTAATTTGAACTTGACGCGACGGTCGAGAAGAGAGCGGAAGAACGAAGTGGCCACCTGACATCTGAAGAGCGGCAAGTCTTTCGCGAGAAAGCCAACGCTGAGATGAGAAACGCCGGCAAAAACAGAGAAAACCAAAAACGACGCATTTTATATCTCGCGCGAATCCGATTATGACTTACAACTTTTCGTTTTTGCGTAAAATAAAAAGAAGCACGATTCATATTTTACACCGCAAGAGCACAATCGTATCGTGACAAATAATACAAACATCTACGTAATTTCAATAAGATGCAGAAATAAAAATTTTCCCCTCAAGTAACTAATGAAAAAAACACCTACATCGGCAGTTTCGTAATTAGCTGTTTTCGAGGGGGGTAACCGTTGAGGGCATTGTGGTGTACAGATTCAACCAGTCGTCTGTTAGAAAATGGACGAATCACAATTCCTTTAGGATTTACCAGATGTGTAGTGAAGTCTAGCAAACTTCTGGTTATGAAATATCGAGCCCTACCATGCTAACTAGAAATTCTGTTTGGTTCAGCCAAAATACATTCTATTATAGTCTTGTTGATACAATCAAAGTATTTTTCTCAGTGTAGCCGTTTTTTGGACATTAGTGGGTGTTATTTGGCCTTGTTGCTCGGGGAAGAAGGAGACAGTAAAGAATTGGTTATTAAATTTATTGGAATATTAAAATTATGAAATAAGATAAAAAGTTGTGTCGTGTGTGTAACACATCAAGTTTAAACATATAACCAAATTAAACGAGCACGAGCGCAAGTTTCATTTCCATTTTTCCGATATACATTGCAGTGAAAGTTCATTTTGAATGCTGGAATAGACTCTGATATTAGAACAGAAATCTATGGTTTGAAGGAAATTCGATATATTCAATATGGGAGCATAGATTTCCAAACATTCGAGTAAGAGGAAAGACGCGAAATTTATAAATAGTCACAAACTACCTACGGAAACGTGCCGATCGTTCTCATAAACCAAGTTACGTAGTGACGATACATCGCGGGGGAAAAAAGGCAGAATTATTTCTAACCAGTAGAGGAGTATATTTAAAGCTGACAATGACCTGTGAGTTTGCTATAATTTATGCTCTGCGAACATCTATGCACGAGGTAACTTTCACACGTGTACACTCTGACTTGTAATTTGCAATTTTTTGCCACCTTCAAAACAATGGTGACATGTTGGTTTGCAGTTCGGTTACTTGATAAGGACCTGATACTTCCCACACAGCACGGGGAACTCCCAGAGAGCTCCTGGGGAGCTCTTAAAATTTTTCATAAGCTTAACTTGAACTTGAAACGAACTCGCACAGAGCTCCTTGGGAGCTCCTATGTCCGCTTTTGAGAGCTCCTTAGGAATTTTATTTAAGCTCCCTGCGAGCTTAAATAAAGCTCACAGGGAGCTCTCAAAAGCGGACATAGGAGCTCCCGGAGAGCTTCATTTAAGCTCGCAGGGAATTGAGAAGTCATGTTTTAAAATGTACGACATACGACATACGACAGGTAAGTACGACATGCCACCTTGGACACTTGGCGAAGATTGTAGCAAAATGCTGAAAAAAAGGTACACCTAATATGACATATAGTACAGAGTGCTACCCCGATGAAATGCAGGACACCATATACATATATGGATAATCAATCACATTTTATGTAATATTAATGTTTTTCTCATTCGTATATTACATAATTCGATATGTAAAAAATACTGAATAATGTTACTAAATTTCAACGTAATTTTTATTCTATAAAAATCTTACAGGTACTTTAGCTCAGCGAAATAAACTGGAAGCTTATTTTATCGAATTTTTGTAAGCTTCCCGGGAGCTCAGCTAAATGAACTCCCTGGGAGCTTAATCGGAGCTTTGTGCTGTCTGGGTTGGATCGAAACGTCGTACCAAATGTAACATTTAACTAATTATACCGCCAATTGGATCAACAAGTTTTACTTCTAAATTAACAAGATATATAAATCGAGGGGTTAACCGCTGAGGGCATTGTGGTGTATAAATTTGCGGCATTACTGGGTATTACTGGGCATTTTTGTGCACCAGTTTGGGCATTATAAAGATAAAACAAGACAATAAGATAAAGTAACCATGATCAAGCTTCTATTCGGCCATGACTGGCGGTGTGTTTTTAACACAGAAAATTTATTGCGAACAATATTACCTCAGCCAGGGTTTGAACCTGGACCTCCCTACACCCTAGGCGGGCGTCTCACCAATACGACCACCGAGACATATGATAATATTTGTTACAATAACAGTGTAGATGTTGTCTACGCGTATATTTTCGACTTGTGAACCGCGCACCGATACGGGTTGTCGGTTTACACGGCACTATCGAAACGCGATTTTTAAGTCCCGTTCCCTTCCCTCCCCCCCCACTTGGACACCATTATTCGATCTAGGTGTATAAATAACGTCAAGAATAACATCAAGGAGACAAAGTAATGCCCGCTGGACGTTGGTGTACATGATTTTGGTCAGCGGTTCATCCCTCGATATAAATCGTAAGCACGTCTCATTGTGCACCTGTGGTCGAATCAACGACCTCTTTGCTCCGTCCCTATTCGGCATTTGCGCAGTCTTCGGGAATGCAAATAGAAAGTATATACGCGCACGCGAAAAGACAGTTTCCGTCTCGTTCACTTCCTTCCTTTCCCTTATGTCCTCCGAGAGCTCGGCAAAAATACTCGGCTGGCGGTATACATGTGTTACGAGTGTTGCGTGAACCACCTCCTCATACCGTAAATTGATTCCCACGAGCACCGAAAGCGAGCGTACTCATTTCCCGCCGGTCTACTCACATGTGCAAGCAGCGAGGAGGCGCGAGCCACCGCTCGTGTGTCTCTCGTATTCTTAGACGCCACTGTCATCCCTCCTTTTAGAGGGTGAGAAAGAGTTTTAAAAGCGGCACGCGACAAGCCCCTCTGAATCGTTCGCGAGCGCATCTGCCATTGATCACTGTGTCATACAAACTCAGAGCACAGTGTCGTCATCTCAGAATTGTGCTCAAAGACGCGACGCATTAGGTTTTTGCTCACATTTTTATCTTTACTTTTATCTTCGTCCGAAATGAGTAGTGAATTTCTCACCTTTGAACCAACCCGTTAAAACGTTAATTGTAATATTTTAGATTCGCGATTTAATGCGTGTCACGAGGGGAATGAAGAAGATATTTTTCAATATAAATAAGTACTATTTTCTTTAACCTATGCGCACCGATTTAATACTTCTGATTCAAATTGATAAAAAAATATATATGAGTAAAAAGATACGCGCATTACCAAAGAATTGTATAAGGTTCACGCGAATGTGCTTTCTAAAGCATAAATATATTAAACGTGCAATTTCTTTAAGTAAAACCTGAGAAGAAGGGAACGTCACGCCAATCCCCATTGAATATTAAATCATTTATTAGATCTCCGGTGAGAAACATCTAACATAAGCTTGCTAACGATGGATATAAATAATTCAAATGTGAGCTCTTACGTGCTGTGCAAGTGATACAAGAGAGTAATAGACGTGAAGTAATACACGTAATCGCAACGGGAGAGATAAGGCTCTCGTTGGAACGGTAAGTTGTCAGGTGATTCCTCACGCGTCTTGAATCACGTGCGTAAATCGCAATCACAATCGCAAACGCAAGGTGACTCACCGCACATATAGGAAGGAAAAGGCCGACGATATACAGCATCGTGCTCGTAACCGTGGACGAGTGGAACGGATGATAGAGTGACTCATCGTTGCAGAAGAAACCGCGTTTGTAAGGTTTACCGAATAGGAAGAACATCAGCACCGAAATGCCCACTGAAACATAAGAGAAAAACAATCTCGTTACACCGTGTCGATCACTCGATAACAATCATAGTGCAATAATGTCAACGTTCGAGACGAGTTGGTCTAGCGATCGATTAATCAGGATTGAACGTCGTCCCGTGAACTCCAAATTAACATGCAATTTATTGCACTTGCTGTATGTACAGCTGTTGCTGCCGCTGCTGCTGCTGCTATTGCTGCTACTGATACTGCTATGACGAACGATAATGTTGTGACTACCAATCAAGATGGTATGCGTTCGATAAACTCGCCCTACTAACTTTCAATGGTGCTCTTTAATCTACGGTCGAATCGAAACCTTTCCGGTTATTTTGTAGAGTGCTATGCATTTTTTCACAAGGGGGAAAATAAACGATTGTTTTGTCTAGATCTAGGCAATTATTATTAATAATGACTTCTTAATTTTCAAGGCATACTTTGATCAGAAACACCAATGACTAATGATGAAAATATAAATTTCTATTGGCATAAAACCATTCAAGTTTTCGTCTATGCTCTCGCGATTTACATCTTGCATCAAACTTAGGCTACACATTTAAATGTGTAACGCAAAATATTTTTATAACATTTATTTTATAAATTGTACCGCGCAATAATCACCTAAAGATTTCTAAACATAAAAATGAAGTGAATGAAATTTTATATGAATTCCTCGGAGGAATACATACAATTATTTTAGTCTACTTCTTGACGACAGAATTACAATAGTCTCATTATCAGGGTTTTTTTCATTATACTATAATGAGCAGGGTTGTTAAAAAACATGTTTAAAAAGAAAAAACAAAACATAATATTTTTTCTGTTTAAATCTGTCTTTTGTTTTAAACTTGTTTAAAATGAGTGCAAAAAGAAACATATTTAAAACATGAAAAAACATGTTAATGCACTAACACTATCGACGCGCGACTCACGGACAGGTTTCCGTTCAACCGTAATG